TCCAAATTCAGCTCCACAGATCAGCTACAACCCTCCTGCAGACCAATCTGCAGTTTCTACAGTTGCAGTGCCCAGAAACTTGGAGCTGCTAAAGTAGACAACAAATATATAAAACCTGAATCTATTTTGGTAAAATGACAACTCAGGAATAGAGAAATCTGCTAAAATTTTAGTGTTCATACATAATTAGTGAACAAAACTCATTCAATATGTCAACAGAAGTTAAGACTATTTACAGCATACTGTTAAAATACTACGATGACATGTGAATTGACCAAAGCAATCATTAGTATGCAAAAAACACGACTATTTCCACTGATAGAAATAAATAACACAAGCATATTACTGCATTATAGAATATAGTATGATGCCAATTTGAGAGTTGGAAGTGAATGCAACCAAACAAATTAAACTAAGCATTGCTCAGCAAATTTAAGAACTAAAGGCAACTTTATTTTGCATAATACAATTAACTCAAACACAATGAATCCCATATAAATAATTTCAAATTTATATTGGTCCCACAATAAGGAACCAGCACTCAATAACAAACTTAAGCTGTAATCTCACCTTAAGTTGCATAACAATTTAAAATTATAAACCGAAATATATGAAGAAAGTTTAACAAAGACAGAATAAAGTCAATAGATATATTTAACACTAACATACAACATTACATAAAAGAAATAACAGTGTTTAGAAGGAAAAGTGCAAAATTAGTTTGAAAAATAATATATTTTTTAAAATTAAATAAAAGTTGTCAGCAACTATCATTACAGCTACAAAAAAACCCTTCAGTTCCAATGAAAATCTCAAAAGCCCAAACATTATAAATATGCTAAAATTAACACAAGTACTTGCAACTATTCTACTAAATTCAAATAAGCTAAAACAAGTTTAAAAACTCTCATAGCTCAGCCAAATGAAGAATTGAATGATATTTTTTAACATTCAACATTGCAATGAAGAAAATTACAAAGTCCACCATTATAGGCATCACAAGGAAACAAAATGCAGAAAATAAAGGTAAATTCGTAAACTAATCTCTTAGCCTTCATATCAGCCTCCGTTGTCTTCTACATGCTTGCTTAGGTATCATTGTCTGCTCTCCCATTAAATTATGCAATTTACGACCTATCTAAAAACATGGAAAAAAGACATTAGAGGTTAAAAATTCTCTGAATAATTTAAGTATTGGAGCATTTAGAACATGTACATTAGCCATTAAACTGTCATATCACTTATTGCTTAAGTGCGAGGATGATCCTATTGCTACAATTGTTGATAGCACCTTTCCTCTTTTTAGACGTGGTATTAGGGATCTGTCATATCTTAATGATAGTGTTATTTTGGCTCCAACATTGGATGTGGTAGATAGCATTAACCAATACATGAATGATAATAATCCGGCTGAGGGTAAGACTTACTTGAGTTGTGATTATGTTTGTAAGTCAGATTCAAATGTAGATATGTTAGCGGATTTGCACATTCCCAAATTCTTGAATGGGCTGAGATATTCTGGAGTACCAAATCATGATTTGACATTGAAAGTTGGGTCACCTATTATGCTCTTGAGAAATATTGATCACACACTTGGATTATGCAACGGTACAAGGTTTATTGTTACTAAGTTAGCAGATCACGTGTTGGAAGCCAAGATCATGTGCGGTACAAATGTAGGAACAAGAGTATTAATTCCTAGAATGTCACTTACACCGTCAGATCCAAGATTGCCTTTCAAATTTCAACGGAAGCAATTCCCGTTGATGTTATCCTATGCCATGACAATCAACAAAAGCCAAGGACAAACACTTTCAAAAGTGGGATTGCTGTTGAAAAGACCTGTCTTTAACCATGGCCAATTGTACGTAGTTGTTTCAAGAGTTAGTAACCCAAGGGGTTTAAAAATTTTGATCTGTGGCGAAAATATACCATATCTAAATATGACTAAAAATGTTGTGTACAACGAAGTCTTCAACAATGTGTAATAAAATTCCACAATTTATCATTTCAAATTTAGTAAGCTTTTAAAATGTATGTTTCTTCATCTTATTATATTATACGGAATATTCTATGTACTATATATATAGCCGTGCATCGCATGGGTTCAACAAAGAAGTCTTCAACAATGTGTAATAAAATTATTAAATTCATCATTTCAATTTTATTAAGTTTTGAAAATGTATATTTTTTCATCTTATTATATTATACCGAATATAATATAAACTATATATATAGTCGTGCATCGCACGGGTGCAACTATTAGTAATAATAATAATAATAATAATTGCGGGCCCGCATGGATAGCTCAACTGGTCATAGAGGTGAAACTTTGGAAGAATGACCAGGGATTTACATCCTCCCAAATGCTCTGTCGGGCCGGGGTGTGTGGGAGCAACCTCTCAAAGTGAGGGGGCTCCTTGTGCGCAGTGAGCACCGGTCTAGCCTCTGTGGTTCATGTTCAGTTGAGTCACCATGATTTACATCCTCCCAAATGCTCTGTCGGGCCGGGGTGTGTGGGAGCAACCTCTCAAAGTGAGGGGGGGCTCCTTGTGCGCAGTGAGCACCGGTCTAGCCTCTGTGGTTCATGTTCAGTTGAGTCACCATGATTTACATCCTCCCAAATGCTCTGTCGGGCCGGGGTGTGGGGGGCCCTTAGGGTTGGGGTTCAACCTTTTGGAAGAATAATAATAATTGCGGTGAAAGTTGTGAATAAAAGAGAACAGAAAAGGATTTTAATTGGCAAGGGTAAAGGGTGTCATTTCTTTAAAATAATAAGGACAAAGATGAAAAAAAAAAGTAAGGAAGCTACTGGCTTATTTTGAAACGCTACATAAAGTAACGTTCCAAAATAAGCTCTTATTTTAAGCTACGAGCTTATTTTGAAAACATTACTAAACAGAGCTTATAGCTTATTAATAACTTAAAATAGCTATAAGCTCTGCCAAACAGAGCCATAGTAATTGGACTAAATGTGAAATTAATTTAGCCATTTTATTACAACAAATTAATAAAGTATTTGAAATAGATTACAATCTAATGCACATAATAATACGTGAATTAATATAAGTATTCAAGTATATCTGATCTTAATTAAAAATTTCAACCTCTCAAAAACAAAAATAAATACTTATCAAATATATATATACAAGTTATTAAAAAAAATCACTTATACATAACAAGTCTAACCCAACACGTTAGGATAAAACTATATGAACTACAAATTTTCACCACTCAATAGTGTGCATTGGTAAACCCATCTCATGTATAGTAGTAAGTAGATTAATAGCATTCAAACCACACAAAAAAAAATATGCTAGATCAAGAAGTTGTTGAGATTGGCAAAAATCAAATTAATGACATTCGGATACAAGAGTCATACTCCAACCGTCCAACTATTCAACCACTCCTTTCGGGACTAATATGCCAATAAATCTTTTTTTTATTAGTTACCGTTAATTGGTCGACCTCACCTCACATTAATATTATACACCGTACACACATACATACATAGACACACTTATATTGCCACCTCAAATAGTACACTTAAAGATTTTAGTGAAAATTTATGATCCTTATAGTATCATAGATCTAGCAAGATAATAGAGAATAATGAGTTTTAAATTCATTATGAACTTCACACTTAGCTTATAAGTTTTTTTTTTTTTTTTTTTTTTTTTTGACACATAACTCTATCACACTAAATAGTAAATACCTTTAAAAAATCACCTCTTATAATCAAACACTAATAAATACCCATAGAGAATAATAAAATAAAAAATCAAACACTAATAAATACCCATAAATATAATCAAATCAAAATTATCAAGTTATAATTTTAATTTATAAAAAAAAAATACTCTATCTACTAAATAAATGAGAAGTTGAAATTGAAAAGTTCAATAGGTTAGGTTTTCACCTTATAATATAACTCAAACAACACTATGTGGTGCTCATATATGCAACATCAACCATATCGAAACATAAACAAATAATCAATTGTAGGCTTACATAGGATGACACAACGGATGAAGTTGGAAGATATCAACACAAGTTGGTGTTGAACTTTCTTACTTTCCAAATTTATACACGTGTTGCATTATCAACTATCATGTGCAAGTGAACTCATACATTTTCCCATTACCCAATATGTCAATATGACACTATCATCAACAGTTTTAAGCAACAGTCATTTATGATCAAATATTGAGGACTGAAACGCCCGAGAGTAATGGGTTATTTGGTTGGATGTAATTGTAATTCAATTACAGTATAATTTTTTGGCCACCAAAATTACAGTGTTTGATTGGAGAGAATTTCGATTGCTCATTTTGTTGAATTGTAATTCATACCCTCACCTTATGAATTGTAATTCAATGGGAAAAGGAAAGAGAAAATGGATGAAAATGATTTTTTTACCCTTGATTATCATTAGCATTATTATTACACAAGAACATTCTAGTTTTTATACCACTTTTTTCTTTCTCATTCCCAATAATTTTATTCCTCCTTACCAAATAATGTAATTTGAATTCCTACTTTATTCCCACCTTATTCTTTTACCACCGAATTACAATTCTCTTTTTCCATAATTCTTTCATTCCAACCAAACGCCTAAAGATTGACGCCAGAATCATGGGGTTAAGGTCAAGGACCAATGGTATAATCTTAGAGTAGTTAGGGTTAAGGGCTAGTAACAAAGTCATAATTAAGGTTCATGTCAAGGATTGTGAACCTTTATCATCTAGATTCCGTTCATTGATGGGCTACGTGCGATGCACGAGTTATGAGTCATCTCACTATGGGTTCGGTTTCATAGATATAAGGTTTATTAGATTGAAAAATAAACGCGTTATATACAAATCTATGTACAATTATATAGTTAAATTCGTAATAAAATTACATTCAGATGATAATTTTTCTATATTCCAAGTTGTAGTGCAATACTTTTATGTATGAAAGCTAAATTAAGAAATTCATTCTAGAACAAAACAACAAGAAACCACAAATAAACTAATTTGATTTCCAACTCAAATTGATACAGACATTGATATTTAAACGTCAAAATATGAATAGTGTTTCAACGCAAGGCTTGCCATCCAAGAAAACATTATACACAATGCTGAACCTGGTCTCCTCGTACCCCACTCTTTCGCTGTTATTAATAAATATAATTAATTAATTATATATTGATACAATTAATTATTAATATATTGTTGACCAAAAATTGAAATATCCATAAAAAAGCCGCCGTGCAAAATAGGCTACACGCAATACTCGCAATACACAGTTACCCACGCTCGATAATTTGCCGCCAAAAGTGCCACGTCACGGTTGCATTACGCCCCAAAAAAAGAAGGTAAATTTACAGTTCAGCCATGAGAGAACGGGGGTGCTCTAACTGATTTTCAAGGAGAAAATAGTCAACGTCGAACTCGTCGAATTCCTCGGCGCCGTGTTTTGCGAGTAACCGGAAACTTGGTAAGCCGAAGAAGTCGAAGTCTATTGGGGAGTCGAAGTTTCCGAGATCGAGATTGTCTAACGCCGTGAATTCGCCGGCGGCGGGGGCGGCAGCTTCGTTTGGGGTGACGTCACTCTGCACGGGGCTATCGAACGGAGTGGAGTCGTCGTAACGGAGGACGGAGGCGGGGGACAGAGCCGCGTTGTTTGAGGTGAGTGCGGTATCGACTGCCGTTATCGTTACCGTTTGTTTCGGGAAGTTGGTGACGGCGTCAGGGCCTTTTAGTCTCACGGCGGCGTTGTCGTAGACGGTGGCGGCTTCTTCCGGGGAGTCAAAAGTTCCGAGCCAGAGGCGTTTCCCGCGGGTCGGGTCGCGAATCTCCGCCGCCCAACGCCCCCACGGCCGCTGACGCACTCCTCTGAACTTCTTCCGGCTGCAGGCGTCGGATTCCGACGACGTGACGTCACTCAGCCCCCTCTTCTTACTCCCGCTGGAAGTAAACTGAACCATGTTCTCCTTCCTCTGCGACGACGCCGACGAAGACGGCGGCGGCGGCACAAACCTGATCTCCGACACGTGCCTCTTCACCCTCCTACTCCTCCCCACCGCCCTCTCCCCTTCATCGTCGGAGGAGTCCGTGGCGTCGCCGTCGGTGACCACGATCCGTACAACTCTGTTCCGGAGAGTCCCCGATCCCGAACTACCCTCTGGCACGTGCTTGTTAGTCATGATCACGTGCTCCGAGAACCTCACCGTCGCCGGAGAACCCAAATCCATCGCTGCCTCAAATACCATCACAGAGTACTGAAAAAAGCCGTCGCCGATCAAATAAGAATCGACCGAAACGATGAGTTGACTTAAGGATGAGAGTATATCTCCCAAGAACTCTACATAATGGGAAGAAAAAAAAGAAGAAGAAATCAATGGCGGAGGGGTAAGTAGAAGTGAGAGGTGGGTATTATTATAGGAAAGAGAAAAAGGGGAAGTGCAAGTTGATGAATTTCTACTTTTTTTGCTGTTTTGGCGGGAAACATAGAACCCACAAGTTCTTCGGGCCGTACCAATGCCCAAAATTCTCACTATACTGCAAAAGCAAGCACTCCCCACTCCTCAGATTTGCATATAAAGACTAATAATCAGAGATATATATATAGAGAGAGAGAGAGAGAGAGTGTGTAGGTGTAAAAGGGGGGCAAAGGGGAGGTGTAAAACAGAGTGCAGTGGGGGCGCTGAGTGGCTCCATTTATAGTGCACGACTGCACGGGTCTTACCGCTCGCGGTGGACTTTTGCACCGAGAAATTTCTACCTACAACCCGACTAGACCGATTAGAGGAGATGAAGATCCATTGTATACAAATATGCATGGTGTTTAGATTGATAGAGAGAAAATATTACATGTATTTTCATATTGTACTCCCACACAATAAATTTTCATGTAGATAATTGGGACCCACATCATGGAATAAAATTTAAGGAGTACATGTAGTACGTAGAACTCTTGATAAATAGAGTGACTCAAGATTTATCTCTTTCAGTGACTCATGGTTAAGAGCTCTCAGGATTTTAAGATTAGTTTAGTCTAAGTTATGATACCTAATAAAAAATTATTTCATCTCATGCCCTCGCGCATACAGTGTAGCGACAAAAGACGAACTTATAAATGCCAGTATCTTATAAAGTTTAATGTTTCATTTTTGATTTGTATCGCACATCTTGTAATTTATAAGATTTCAGAAAAATGATCATGGGAGCGCTCATGATGAGACATCACTCAAATTATTTCTTTTGACCGATTTTGTTTGGTGACGCTTTGTCTCTTATATTAAATTCGGTGCATACTACATGCTTGATTGGTGACTCTTAGTCTTTTACATTAAATATCGTACATATTACATGATTGTCTGGTGACTCTTAGTCTTTAACATTAAATTTGGTGCGTATTACATGGTTGTTTGGTGACTTTTAGTCTCTTTTTTTCCGTTAAACTTGGTACATATTACATACTTGTTTGGTAATTTTTTGTATCTATGTTAAATTTGATACATATATTATATATTTATTTTGTGATTTTTAATCTTTTACGCTAAATTTGGTTACATATTACATGTCCAACATGTCATATGTTATCATATGATTTCTCATAAATAATGTATAATTTTTTGAAATAGCTTTATAGATTACCGTTAATCACATATCAAGTACTTTAGACTAACTTTGTTTGGTGATTCTATGTTAAATTTGGTTAATATTACATGGCCAACATGTAATATATTCTCATTTAGATGCCGTTGGGTAGTTAGGAAAGTTTTGGTGTCATACTTGCCATGTTAAAAATCTCTTATATAGTAAGGATATATTAGAGATTTTACAAATTTTTCTAGAAAAGTTTAAATGAAGCCAACGTATTAATTAATTTTCTAGGTAATTTAATTCATTAATTGTTATATTTTCAGGGTAACACCAAACATGCTAATTAAATTTTTCAGTAAAATTATTCTTATCAAATATATTTCAATAAAACATTTTCGTCAAAATTTAATTGATGATAAAACACCAATCACCCTCTTAATTTCTCGTAGGCAATATAAAATTTTCTTAAATAGTTTTATAGGCTCTATTTGACAGATCTTATTTAGGAGCTTATAGTTTATTTTAAGCTACTAATAAGCTATAAGCTATGTTTGATAATGTTTTCAAAATAAGCTCTTAGCTTAAAATAAGGCTTATTTTGAAAAATAAGCTCCTAACTTCTTAACTTTTTTTTTCCCATATTTATCCTTATTATTTTAAAGAAATGACATAACTTACCCTTCCCAATTAAAATTCTTTTATCTTTTCCTTTATCCGCAACTTTCACCGCAAATATTATTATTATTATTATTATTATTATTATTATTATTATTATTATTATTATTATTATTATTATTATTATTATTATTATTATGAGATTTGCAACAATATAGCTACTTCACTATGAGATGCTAGATCATGATTATCTTAATAGTTTTATTTCAATTTTTTTTTTTAATGACAAAATGTTAAATTTTAATATGTAAACAAACTAATTTAAATTTTATGAAGATGTCCTTTTTAGTCTTTTTACATTTATCAGCTTATCAAAAAGCTAATTTTACCAAGCACTTTCAATCATAACAGCTAGCTTAACAGCTCTTCAGTTTTCAGCTCCGAGCTTATAGCTTTTCAACTTTCAGCTTTCAGCTCCTAGCTTATAACTTTTCAGCTTTCAGTTCCTAGTTTATAACTTTTCAGCTAGGTTTGCCAAACAGAGCCATAGTCTACTCTTAGCCACATATATCAAATATCTATTTAATATGATGTGATACTTCTACGAAATTTGAAATTAAGAATCTTATAATTTGAGCTAAATGTACTGGAAGATTCCTACACTTAGGGTTTTTCCATAATTAGATCGATCCGGTGCGAACGAATGTTAGTCTTAGTATAATACGGATTTAAAGATGTATCTTACCGTTAGAGCTTGCGCAAGACATCTTGTAGTCTAACAAAAAAATGTACATAAAAACTATGGTTTGATCGATAGACTGATTATAGTACTTATAGGGGCATAATCTTGTGGGCTTACGATAAGTTTGGCGAAGTAATTTGAACTACTAAATGTAGATACGTTAACTAAATGTAGATACGTGTCTAGTAATTTGGCGAAGTTAATTACTAACATCTCAAATTTTGTTGGGTGACGAGTCATTACTTAAGGTGTGCACAAATTAAACTCTATTCCTATATAATAGCTAGTAAACTACATAGGAGATGTAAATTGCACTAGGAAGATCGAGCTCAATCGAAAGAATGTTAACAATAATCAAACTCGTGACCTTATCATACAATAATCATACCCTACTTACTCGGTTATAGACACTTTTTGGATTAAAAACACAATATTTTATCTTTATGCTAAATTACCAAAGTAGTAAGCGTCGTGTTCATAAATTATTAGTTATAGTTACAGGAGCAAATGTTTTTGGACTGTTTATGTCACGTCAAATCATTTTCTTGCCACATATCTCATCGTCTCATGCCACAATATTATACTCATGGAACAATCACTGTTTTGTATTTTAAATGCATATGCTTAACATTACAAATATTTTATTTTCAATATATAATGAGTCTTATTGTCATTATTATGAACTCAGTAAACGAAAAAACATTATAAAATAAATTTAAGAGAACAAAATAATATATTTTTCAAGAAATTTACAATTGTTTTGTGTGATGAGAAAAATTTACGGCCACTACTACTTTATGGTATATTAAGTAAACTTTGTTATTGTATATTAATTCACAAATTACACATAATAGATAAATTACACTATACAAAACGAACTCAATTAAAAGATTATTGATAAGAATTAAACTTATAATAATTTTATAATACAAGAATTGTGTTCTATAAAACCGGTCACCAGTTTCGGGACAATATACAACATTACAACTACAATACTATTTATCAAAAAAAAAAAAAAAAAACTACAATACTATTGGACAGAAGGGGAGAGTGGAAGATTGCTGTCTTTTTTGGGGCTGTGTGATGACTGACAGCTGTCAGTTGTTGACACGTCAAGCACTTGTATTGTACTATGAAGGAAAATGTCTAATATTTACTTTGAAATTTCTCTTGCTTTGCTTTTAACAAAGTTGTCACATTTCTTTTTTCAATTGAATATTTTAACCAACAATTAAAGAAACGAACTTGCTAAGAAGATGAGAAGAAAGGAGTCCAAATGTAAAATGTTTTTTTCTTTACAAGTCAACAATTTGCATTTTATTTTTATTAATTAAATATAACTTATTATATATGAATTGTATTTGGTGAAAATTAGACAAATTCTGATGGTTTTCCTTTTGGCTAAGCTTTCAACCAATTTGTAGTCAAAATTCATGCTATCAATTCATATTTGAAAGAGTTCTTTCAATTATTGTTGTTGTTATTTAATTCACATGTTTCAAACATAATATTTTACTTTAAAATAATAATAATAAAAAATGTTGACTAAAATTAAAATTTTGAGTGATATGAAAAATTCTCAACCACAATGCGATGGTGTACAGTGTATTTTAGATAAACTTCACTACTGTATAATAACTTGTAAACCATACACGAGAGGTAGATCGCACTAATAAGATCGTATACAACAAACTGAAACGAGACGGTGTTGGTAAGAATCGGCAAGAGCACAACACAACTAAATTATTGTTTTAATTGGCTCCACTACCACAATTACATTAGTTAGAACATCAACATTCAAATACATAGTTTATTTTGAGTTTGAAAATTTTAAAACTTTTAAAAAATTTAAATTTAAAATTGTCATTACAATGGGAGAATTTTTGAATACTATTAGCTCTATTACATTGTAGTATCTGTTCATATACTTTCTCAACCTACGTTAGAGCTAATAACGCCTCCACTAAAGCTCGAACTCACAACCTTCCAAATGGAAGTCCAACCCGGGTACCATTGGACCACATAGTCCTGATCACTAATGGGAGAATTAATAACATATTTAATTCATCATATTAATCTGATATTTTATTTGAATCAAATAGGGTTTAAATGATGGTCACTAATTTTTTTTTCTAATGTCATTGAAGCCATAATAGAGATCGAAGATGTCCTTTAATCATATCTATGTAGAAGCTAATGGTTATATGTGATTGGCTCACAACACATGCATGTGTCTTTTTGATTTATAATTTGAACCCAAATTTTATGGCCCTTACCACTCTTAATTACACTGAAAACGCGTGGATGATGTAAATCGTAGAAACTGTCTTGCCCCTGCGGTTGTTAACAAAAAAAATCTTTTTAACTTATTTTGTGTTGGTTAACTAATTGAATTGTGGCCATGAGAACGTTTATCAATTCAGAACTTATGACGTGAGAGTCTCCACCTTAAGATGATATGTGCATATCAATAGTGTATTGGTATGATATAGTCATATTTCATTTTTTTCTTTTTTTTTTTTTTGTATTTCTTTCTCATTTAAAAAAAAAAAAAAACATGAAACATCTTTAGTAGTAGTTTCAATATGTAAATTTCCAATTTTTCACTGCGAAAAAGAATGAAAAATTAAGTAGAGAAATATGAAAAGGAAGCTCAAGGGATTGAATATGAATTGAAAAGTAAAACAATCAATATAATATTATAAGATAAATGACTACATATACGTTTAT